TTTGCAGGTTAGTCTAATCTGCAGGGATTGAAATGGTTTGCAAGTGGGCAGACATTCACTTTTGATTCCAGAAATGCAGGCACATGCCTGCAGTGGCTCAGGCTAGAAGCTAGGGGGTACTAGAGTGAGCCCTCCCTCCCCTTCCATAGTGCTGAGCTAAAGGGGGGCAAGGCCAGGCCCCCAGGACACTATGATTAGGGAGGGATTTAAACTCCCAACCTGCTTGCACATCCTCAGTCACGGTGTGCCCAGAGGGGGTGGGGGAAGTAGCCATTGCCAGGCTTTTCCCCACTCGCAGTTCAAGGGATAGGGAGTGTTGTTAGGTCCCAGCCCCCAGCTAGCACTCTTAGGCAAAAGTTGGGAGGAGCTGCTTGTGTGGAGTGCATGCATCTGTTGATAATACTGGATCTCTCTCCCTGCTTCTTCCTGCTATCTGCAGCTGTGGACAGGAAGTGAATGGCACCAAAGCCTCTCAGAACTGCCTCTGAGATGCCTGCACTTTGGCGGTTCTGAAGCAAGTCAGCAGGGAGCTTGTCAGAACACAAAGCTTATCAGCCTATCAAGCCCTACAAACAAAAACATGTCTCTCATTAATTTCAAACTCTTGTTAACTGCAGGGTGCATTTGCATTTGCAAGGCACTGGTTTCTTGCTCAGGGAGCAACAGCCTGGCTGCAGCCCTGGTTAGGTCCAGAAAGCCCTAAGCTGACACTGTTCTGTCTGCCTCTGTTCCAGTGAAATTTGAGACACATGCACAGACACCTCTCAGCATTAGCTAGCATGGTGGGGGGGCATGGCTAGATGCTGGCTGGATTTCCTGCCACTGGGGTCCCTGCCATGGGAGAGGGAAGTGGCGGGGATCCCTGCTTGAGCACTGAGGGGGTGGGGGCAGAAGGGAGCCTGGCAGATGCAGGCAGACCCTGACTGTAGTGCCCCACCCCCTTCTCAGCTAGCTGGAGCAGTAATAGTGCTCTGGCTATGGAGGAGAAGGGTGCAACCAGCCCTTCTCTGTGGAGCAGACAGCATAGCCCAGCCCAGCCCAGGGCTGAAAAGCATGCTGGGATGTAGGGGGACTCTGATTTAATTTAAACCTGGAAGGGATCTGGGACAGAAGTTCCATAAACCAGTTTGGCCTAAATCAGTTAAGTCTGATACTACATTCAACCAGGTTTATCTTAAACCAGTTTTGGCCATTTTGCAACTGGTTTATGCGCACTGGACTTATGTTCTGTTACATGTTTAAACCAGTTTCTGATCACTTAACCCAGTTTGTGTAAATTCTGTCCCTAGCCCCATAATCATAGAAAATTAGGGTTGGGAAGTACCTCAGGACGTCATTCAGTCCAACCACCCCTGCTCAAAGCAAGGACAATTTCTGACTATAGCATCCTAGACAAAGACAAATGACTGTCTTCTTTTTTTTTCTTTTTGAAAACAGAATGGAGGTGGACAGTTTGAAAATAAATTGATGACATGATGGTGTTTGTCTATGTCATTTATTCAACCTTGCAGTCAAGGATCTCTGCATTGCTTAAATTCAGTTTACCATTGTTTAAACAAGAGCTATAAAAGCTATAAAATATTCATTCATAATAGTCAGCTTTATTGTTGCTTTTAATTTTCTATATTGGGAATTTAATCCATTATGTAAAAATATGTGCTTTAGTAATGCCATTTAAAAAATAATAAAATAATGAATTTTAATCTTGTTTAAACTGTAATAATAAGGGTTTTAGGTTCATAGTGATGAAAACTATAGCAGGTTATTAGAAATTCTGCCTCAAAATCTTGAATGTTGTTCAAAATCTCCCAAAAAATATAAAGCCTTATCAGAATTTCACAGAAAACAAGGGCAGTGAGGAAAATCTGTTACATGTGTGCAAAGGACAAAAATAAGGGGCATTTATACATGTACCTTTTAGTTCTGGGATGTACCGGAGATCCTCTGCTTCAGAGCAGACTCAGTTAATCGAGTCTGCTCTGCATGGGAGCTGATGCGCACCGCGTTGCGCTGCTTGCAGTTGTGTAAGTGGCAAAATGCGCGACAGCACAGAGAAAATGGCAGCGGTGCGCTTTTGAACTAAAGCACTTCCGAGGTGTTTTAGTTCAAAAGTCCGCCGCCACCATTTTCTTTGACACACGTTTCACCGCTTATACAACTGTAAGCATCACAGCGCCAGGCGCTTGCACGTGTAAAAATGCCTAAGAATGCTAACCGTAGAAATGAAGTAGCTGTCTGGGAAAAGCAAAATCAGTAGTTCACAGGAAAGTTTGAAATCTTAAAGCTTTCAGAAGGCGTTAAAGCTACTTTTGTGAGCTTTGGTTATTTAAGTTCAGATTTAATAGTCAAATGTAGGATTCTGAACTAAATGGATACTTTGCTTTTATCCTTCTTTACCATCTCCTGTCTAAGAATCTCACCTTCTCAATCTGTCTCCTAATCCATCCCTACTGCATCTCAGTAGGCAACAAACACTGAGCTCCTGCTCACCTAGCAGAGAACCTGTAACTTCCCTGGGAGTCCCTTGATGTGCTCTTCTGGTCCTTTCAACTTGATGATTCCCCCCTGGTGGAGAAGTGGCCAGATCCAGGTGCACAGGTTTGGGATTGCATTTGGGATCGTACCTGCAGACTAGCCCCACATAGGATTCAGCCCATGGGGCTGGAAGGTTAGGCATGATTAGGACAGTATGTCCCACTCATTAAGACTCACTTACCTGCCTTTGGGTCCTATGGGAAAAAATTCCTTTTATTCTGTAGAAAAAAATAGTGCATTCATATAAAGACTGCAGAAGATGATTAGAAGTAGAATGACTTTTTTCCCCCTCTTTTGAAATACGATCCCAGTCTAACTGAATGTTGTGATAAAGATTTTAAGTATTTATTTGCAAAAGGCCTGTGCAGGATCCAGCTAAGTTCCAACAGATCAATCAGTTGTGAATATTTGTTGTAATTTGGTTTAGCTCTTGATGGAATGTATTCAAATAGAGCCAAAAATTTTGTTTCGTCTCCTCTGATTGTTAAGTGATTTCTGTTAACACTGGGTTGGTTTGGCATGCACTATTTCCTAGTCATTGAGAAGAGAATGAATCCAGAGAAAGAAGCTGGCAAAGCTCTGATATTTACATAATGTCTGTTTTTTTGTGAACTCTGAATGTGGATGAAAACACTCTAATCTTCTTAGTGATCTCAGCAAAAATTGAATGCATTGGGTCAACCTATTTTCTGAAAAGATTCAGTAAAAAATAGAAGCCTGCATCATGATTGAAAATAAACATGTTTACTGATTCAGTTATGAAACGTTCTGATGACCTAGTAATATTTGAATTATTCCATCATTACATCAGGTTTTTCTTAACGTACGTTTTGGTAGGTTTCCTAAAAATAGAACAAATAGCCCTTGTATTATTCCCTGTCAACTGGTTGAACATTCACTCCATTAGGATAAATTTGAACTGTAGTGTTAAGGGAAGAAAAGGCAAGTGCCAGGATCACTAAACCAACTTACTGTCCAGCTGCACCGTTTCAGTTGGGAAGTTAATTTGATAGAAAATTGTGCTGAGAGCTGTTAGATCATGCTAAATTTGGGGAGGGATGAGGGATTATCATCCCTGTCAAATTCATTTTGTTTGAGATTTTGAATATACATTGACTGTTGATTTTTGTGTCAGTATATTCCAGCTTTCAAACACCTTCAGTACTACAAGGCTAAAGTTCTGATTTAAAAATGAAGTTTAAGATTTAGGTATATCATTTCATTATTTGATGTACCTTATGTCTAGATTTGGCAGCATAACTGTGTGTAACAGCACCTATGTAATTGCCATCCTGGAAGTACCCACTAGGTATGATAGGTCTCAATAAAGATGGCTGTTTGTTTTGGTTTATGCTAAACCAAATTGCTTTAATTCCAACACATTTTCTGTGCACGGTGCAACCTTACAACATGAGTCATAGTTTGATTTTTCAGAAGCATCAGTCCTTCAGCATGTAACTTTTCAATTTTCCATTGTAAAGTATCACAGCCCAAACAATTCTCTCTCGCTTTATGTTCAAGAGTCACAATTATATCTACCCCATCTATGAACTTGCCAGTGTTGGATTTCATTAACTACTTGAATATTTTATGTAAATTGACTCTAATTCACACACTTACAAGTAAAGAATAGATTTATTGTTAGTATCTTGTATGGCTTGAACAAAAACAAAGCTTCATCCTGTATTCTAAGCTCGAATGCAGTTTTAGGGTGCGATGCTCTAAATTATTTTGATAATACTGCTTTCTTATTCCTATTGGTGGCATACTGGAGAACCAAGCTATACAGGATTAAAATTCATTAACTGTAGTTTACTGGAAAAAGGCAAGTCAGATGAGAACATGTTTAGTCACTGAGCAAATAGAACAGAATTAGTTGTAGTAAAATACTCAGAATTTGACCAGTTCTAATGAAACATAGTGCCAGCCATTTCACTAAATCATATAAACATTTAGCTTTAATAGTTCCTGTGTTTGTTCTACACAGTCAGTAAAGTATAAATTGGATTTATAACTCATAGATTATGGGATTGAATATGCAAGTATACTTGCTCCTAGAAAGTTTATCAGAGGAAAGACAGAATATAGACAAACTTACTATTGGACTAATGAAGGGTTCCTCTGCTACTGAACAGAGACCATCAGTAATTTCCTTATTTGCTTATCTGAGCTCCTTTCAGAGAATTCTTTCTATACAAATAGAAAGGTAGCAGAAGAGTAAGGATGTGTATCCCAACTGCTGCCTAAAATTAAATACCTCATATATCATAATTTTATGCTGTAATTATTCTGTTGTATGTTCTGTTTTCTATTTTATGTTACAGAATTATGTAACGTATGAACAGCAGATGAAAACGATATATTGACCTAAATACACTAGTGTATGGTGTTCCATAAGTTCCCATCTCTGTAACAGTAGAAGCAGCAATTTCTGTGTATTTAACAATTTTTATTTTCCTCCCTAGTTGTGTGCTGCCCACCTACCAACACGATCAGAGGCACCAAACCACTATCAGGCAGTATGTCGTGCATTGTTTGCTGAAACAATGGAATTGTACACGTTCCTAGCAAAAATTAAAAGTGCAAAAGAGGTAAGCAATCTGCTAGAATTCTGTGTTGTTATTTTGGTTACTGTGTGAGTGATCCAAGTGAGATGTTTTCTATTCCCAACCACCAGTGATAGACAACTGCTTCAGGAAATTATTAACAGTGTTTGGAAAGATAGTTGTACAGTTCAGTTTTCTTTTGCATCCAGTAACTGTTAATCATACTTATCTGATCGAGGTTAATGTATATTCATGATTGACTGCGATTAAGGACCTACCAAAACCTTTAATCTTAATTTGTTTTTGATGTGTGCCCCCTCCTTCCCCACCCCTGATTGTCAGAGGGGCCCTGGTAGTCCATCTGCTTGCTACTGATCAACCAGAAGGTGAAAAACATGGTTTTAAATGCACCATGGTTTTTGCTTCCCGCCCTTGGCTACGGGGCCCCAGCAGCCCTGCTGCTTGGTGCTGATTAGCCTGGAGGCAAAAACTGCGGCATATTTAGAACCACAGTTTTTGCCTCCTGGCTGGTCAGCACCAAGGATCTCTGACAATTGTGAGGGGGGTACGCGCCAAAATGAGTAAGTTTAAAGGATCCACTGTGCAGTGCACTTCTGCCACAATTTCAGTAGGTTCCTAACTCTGATCCATGATGCTAAGTGAGTAGGGGGAGACCAAAAGTATTTTTGGAGTGATTGCATATTTTTGTTCTGGTCTATATATACACCTGCATCTAGTGCAGTGCTTAATCTGCTCCATCACATCTGCACCTCCCTCACTCCAGATTCCTAATCCCTCTACAGCGAGGGTAAGCATAGACACAGCACAGTGTAGGGGAGTGCTGCAGAAGGGATGGGTGGCAAGGCACATCTCTGTGCCACCGATTTTCCCCATCCTGGATCAACCCTCAGTGGTCCATAGGTTGCCAACCTTTTCATTACATGCAAGTCCTCTTGCCTGCAAGGAGCACTGAATGTTTTTGTGGACCATTTTAGCAAAGGGTTCCTGAAGGATCATGAGTATGAAACTGGAGATGGGCCTATTGAAAGTCTCTGAGTTAAAGTTAATGGGGAGAGCACAAGGGTGATGTTATAATGGATTCCTGCTATAGACAACCAGATGAGGAGGAAGTGGTGGATGAGGCTTTGTTCAAACAGCTAGCAGAAGTTTCCCAGTCACACACCCTGGTTCTCATGGGGGACTTCAGTTACTCTGACATCTGCTGGGAGGGCAATGCACAGGCAATCCAGGAAGTTTTTGGAGAGTGCTGGGGACAACTTCCTGGTGTAAATGCTGGACTGGACAACTAGGGCCATGTTCTTCTTGACCTGCTGCTCACAAACAGGGAAGAATTGGTGGGGAATGTAGTAGTAGATGGCAGCTTGGGCAGCAGTGACCACAAGATGATTGAGTTAAGGATCCTGAGGAGCAGAGTAAGGACCCTGGACTTAAAAAAAAGCAGACTTTGACTCGCTCAGAGAACTCATGGGCAGGATCCCCTGGGAAGCCAGTCTGAGGGGAAGAGCAGCCCAGGAGAGCTGGCTGTACTTTAAGGAAGCCTTACTGAGACTGCAGGAACCAACCATCCCGATGTGCAGGCAGACTGGCAAGTATGGCAGAAGACCAGCTTGGTTTAGCAGGGAGCTATTCAGTAAACTACGTTACAAAAAGGAAGCTTATAGAAGTAGAAACTTGGACAGATAGATAGGAAAGAGTATAAGAGCATTGCTTGGATGCAGTCAGGAAGGCCAAAGCACAATTGGAGTTGCAGTTAGCAAGGGATATGAAGGGTAACAAGAAGGGTTTCTGCAAGTATGTTGCTGGCAAGAGGAGAATCAGGGAAAGTGTGGGTCCTTTCCTGAATGGGGGAGGCAACCTTGTGACAGAGGATGCAGAAAAGGCTGAAGTGCTCAATGCTGCCTTCACCTCAGTCTTCACAGGCAAGGCCAGCTCCCAGACTACAGCACCAGGCACCCCCAGCATCCCAGCATGCTCTTTGGGCTGAGTGGGGCTCTCTGCTTCACAGCAGGGCTGGTCCCTCCCCTCTGCTCCCTGACTGCAGCTTTGGCAGAGACTGCAGGCAGCTACCCCCACCCTTCGCCACTCCCTGCTAAGCAGGAATTTCCCCCTCCCCTCTGCCTTCCTGAGAGGTGTCTGTGTATTAGCTAGCAGACCGCATGCTGGCTACAGTCCATGCTGTGACAGATAGGACAAAGAAAGAATCAGCAGGTAACTGGTAATGTCCCTCTGTTGTTTTCTTAATGGGGTGATAAACAATGAGTTAGGGGTGATAAACACTATGTTATCAATTCCCTGCTGGGCTAATCAGAGGGCTTGCTGGAGCCTGGCCACGCCCCCCTTATCTCAGCAATGTGGAAGGGAAGGGAGGGCTGCTATAGCACCCCCGCCCATAGCTTCTAGCCTGAGCCACTGCTGGCATGTAACTGCATATCTGGGATGTCTGTACAGTTACCAACTGATTTAGCCTAGCCATGTTAGACTAACCTGCAAAGATTAAATCAGTTCAGGCTCAGGGTTTTTGAATATCTGTCCCTAGCCTTGGAGTACTGTGGGGCCCCCACTACAGAGAAGATGTGGACAAATTGGAGAGTCCAGCAGAGGGCAACAAAAATGCTGAGGGGACTGGGAGACATGACTTATGAGGAAAGACTAAGGGAACTGGGCTTATTTAGTCTAGAGAAGGGGAGACTGAGAGTGGATTTAATAGCAGTCTTCAGCTACTTGAAGGGTGGCTCGAAAGAGGATGGAGCTAGACTGTTCTCAGTGGTGACAGATGACAGAACAAGGAGCAACAGTTTCAAACTGCAGCAGGGGAAGTTTAGTTTGGATATTAGGAAAAATGTTCTGACTAGAAGGGTAGTAAAATACTGGAACATGTTACCCAGAGATGTGGTGGAAGCTCTATCCTTGGAAGTTTTTAAGATGTGGGTAGACAAAGCTTTGGCTGGGATGATCTAGTTGGGGATGGTCCTGCTTTGGGCATGGTGTTGAACTAGATGACTTCCTGAGGTCCCTTTCAACCCTAATTTTCAATGATTCTATGAATGAATCTTGAAGAAAAGTATATAACTGTTGCAATATAGTTCTTGTTGAGATCCATACCTGAGATGTTGTAGATTATTCATCTTCCCTCAAGGGAGTGGTACCTTGAGGTACTAGTAGTTTCTATTACTGCCTTAAAAATTTGATTAGCTGTGATAACACTTCATCTAAAGAAGCTGAATATTCTTGAACCTTATCATTCATATGTTCTTAAAAGGGTTATTTAGATAGTAGTGCTCAACTTTTTTTTTGGCAGTGAGTTGCATGGGTGTTGCCTGGGCCGTCAGTGGGCTGGATCCGGATGGTGGTCCCAATCCAGCACAGGGTGGTTGCAGCAGAGCCCCATCTGGCTGCACTGAGGGAGGCAGGGGGCATCCTGGCTCTAACATGACCCTGTGGGGGAAAAAGGAGTGTGGCTCAGCTCCAACCTGTCCCATGGGACAAGGGAGCAGGGTCATGGCCTAGCCCTCTGCAGGGCAGAGGGGAAAGGCGCATGGCCCAGTCCCAACCCAGCCCTATGGGGGGAGGGGGTGTGGCCCGGCCCCGTGTGGGGAGGGGGTATGGTCCAGCCTCAGGGAGGGGAAGGTAGATTGGCTTGGCCCTGTGGTGGGGGAAGGGGGCTTGAGTTGGCCCCAGCCCAGAAACAGGGTGTGGCTCAGTCCTATCCAGCTTGGGGTGGTGGGAGGGGGCGTGGCATGGCCCAAACCTGCTGCATGGGGCTTGGGGTTTGGGAATTCGGCAGTGGGGAAGGGTGGCCATATTTATTGCTACTTCTCTCCTGCCACCAAATTTCTCTATCTGGAGATCCCCACAGGCCAGATATCTGTGGCTCCATGGACTGCATTTGGCCCACAGGCTGGAGGTTGAGCACCCCTAATATAGACTGTCAACCTATTGGAGATCCATAGCCTCTTTGGGATTTGGAGTTTCCTTCAGCCTGGAAACTCTGTTGGACTGATCATATGCTTTCTAACATGCTAACATGATCAAACTGATCATATGCTTTCTAACATGCTTTTCCACCAAGGTAACTTTATTTGTGGTGATCACATCAGCCAGGAAAGTGTGTAAGTTACAAGCTCTTGTGGCAAACTCCCCGCACATTGTTTTCAACAAACACAAGATCTCACAGTGCCTGTACACAAGTGCAGAGGCTGCTCCGACATGCTATAATTACAGTGCATTGTAGCAGACTCTGCGCTTTAGCAGCCTCCCTGGTCTCTTATATCAGCATCTCTACTCTTCAAAAAGGTGGTGGGTGCTTTTAACTAAAGCTCGTCGAATGAGCTTTAGTTCAAGTGCCCCCGGTGCTGTTTTGAAGCATGGGGATGCTGATACATGAGATGCTGCAGCATTTTGATTAGAGCAGCTCTCAGAGCCACTGTAATTGAAGTGTTGCACCCTGCCCGCTCCCCCTTGGAGTATATGTAGAAGTGCCCTCAGTGTGGCCATATCCTAAATTCTTTAAAAACACACACATTCACCTGTGCACACGTATCTCTTGGGGCCCCTTTACTTGTGCAGATAAAGGCACAGTAAGATCTAATGTCCAATCCACATAATCGCGCCTCCTGCCATACCACATTTCCATGGGAGGAGGTACGACTGTGGGATCACACATTGGATCTCATTGTGCCTTATCGCCAGTGCAGGGAGAGCCCGGGATCACAGTTGACTCCTGTGGGGAGCCGACGGGGCTCACAAAAATGTCAATGTTCTCCCTGCTGCCCCTTCACTGGAAGCCCCACACCTAGGGGACAACATTTCCCTTGCTGCGAGCTCCACTGCTGCTGAGGCTGGCAGCAGGCACACTGCCAGGAACACTGCTGCCACTGTGGTGCTTGTCAGCTGCGGGGCTGACAGCGGGTGGTGCACCCCTGTGCCTGGGAGCTCCTCAGTTGATGGGGCTCCCAGCCATAAGGGAGCACCTAGACACACGCTCAGTTAATGGCATAAGAGCAAGCTACAAAGTTATTACACGT